GCACATGTAGTTGTTTCGCTTGACACAAAAATATTGCCAATGATTACAACTAATACAAAAGAGAATAAATGCAAAATAATGATCATGTATGATCCTTACTTGATTCATCATCAGCTGTGCCAGTGTCACTGTCATCTTTAATTTCAACTTTGCCTAAGGAATCAAATATATATAAAAGGAACAAAATATATTTAGGAGATTTGAATATCATTTACTGTTATTATTATCATTATCATTATCATTTTTGTTATTATTGTTATTATTATTATTATTATTATTATTATTATCAAATTGGTTGAGATAGCATAATATTGTAAAACAATAATTTTTCAAACAGGTTTTAACAGCCAGTGGCTGGTGAAAGACGGGGCCATTATTTATCATGCAAGTAAACAGTGTGAAAGAACAAATATTTGAACTGCGGAGAAAGATATAAAGACATCAGTGATCATCACAATTATACACAACTTAAGCAGTTCTGAATATAAATCCTGGAAAAAAATTCAGTTTCTTGTTCCAAAATCACCCATAGAGTAGGCCAATTTTAATATATTAAAATTTTTACTTGGCTTTGAGGGACAGCGGAATAAAACAAAAGAAACTGCATCGAGGTGGAAGGCTTTAGTTATTTGCCAAGTATTACCTGCAACAAGGACCTATCAAGCATGCTCAGTCTTTATAGGTGCAATGGCTTACGGCCCCTTATTGACAGCCCTGCAGAGGTTTCTTAATTCAAATTCCCGTCTCCAGAAATACTGACTAGAAAATTACTGTAGTGTTACTAATAAATACCTTTCACAGCAGCTTTGCCAACAAACTCTTCATCTGACGAGCTAAACTCTTCTTGGTTTACAGAACCTAATTCACAGCCTATTTGTGAATAAAAAAGTGGATTGAGTAAACAAAAATAAAAACCGGCAATTGTACACGCAAATTAAAATACCATATAACAAATAAATAATTCAGTCCTTAAAGCTACATACCTAATTTTACAACAGCTGACAAAAATGAATTTACTCTTTTTATTGAAGGCTACAATAATAAATTATACTTAGCCAACATTGAGGAATATGTAGCTGTTCTCTCAGTTCTTTTAAAGCTTGTTACTTACAATGTTTACCTTTCAGAACGTCACTGTTAAAATCGTCATCAAAGCAGCTAACATCCTCTTGGCTCACAGAGCCTTCAGAGCCTAGTTTTGAATAAAAATGTA